AGTGGCTCTTCATGTTGTCTTTTACACAGGACTACAGGTTCCCAGCCTTCACCAGCTTCGCCCCTTCTAAATGGAAATGTTGCATAGCCCTGGATTCGAAGGCACTGGATTTGAGTGACAGCTTCCCAAGAATTCTCTGAAGGAACCATAGACATCTGATGTGGCTATGACACATGCAGGTACACCTGCAGGAAGCCAGTACATCTAGGTGAGACATTAAGCACCAAGCTTTCATGTCAGCTGACATGGGTCCCATTCCCAGGTTGGCCACTTGGGAATGGGATCTGGGAAAGTTATTGAAAACTCTTTAAGGTCTTTTCTTTAGTGTGAAAATGGTTTTAATAACAGTATCTGTCTTATAGGGTTTCTTTGAGAATTAAATAAAATAATATATAAAAGGCACTTAACACTATGCCTAGCAAATAGCCATTTAGTCATTGTCAATATTGTTAATCGTTCATTTATCAATCAGTTGCTATAAACTGTGTACTCTGTTAAGGACTGGAACTCCCAGTTTCTGCCCTCAGAAACCTCACAGTCCAATGGGAAAGGACCACAGGAGAACCAGCAGTTAGGATGCAGGATGATAAGTACTTTATTAATAATCATTTTGAAAACACTATCATGAATGGGTGACAACAAATTTTTTTGCTAGCCACTGTGTGCTACATGCTTTATGTAAGTCAAGTGCATAAGCTTTCTAGTCTAAATACATGAGTTCAAATCCCAGCATTACCACTGAATAATTATGAAATCTTGGGCATGTTAATTAACTTCTTTGAAACTTAGTTATTTCATCTTGCAAATAGGTACAGAAGTTAGAAAAAAAGAGGATGGGCTTGGTGGCTCATACTTGGCAACATAGTGAAATCCCATCTCTATTAAAAATAAAATAATTAGCCAGGCATGTGCCTGTGGTCCTAGCTACCTGGGAGGCTGAGGAGGAAGATCACTTGAGTTCAGATGTTTGAGGCTGCAGTGAGCTGTGATCGCACTATTGCACCCCAGCCTGGATGACGGAGGAAAGCACTATCTCTAAAAAAAAAAAGTTAGAAAAAAAATATGTGTAAGATGTCACCAGAGTATCTTGTATATGGTATGTGCTTCATGAATGTCTGTTGGCTAGAGGAGTTGAGGTGCAGTGACTAAGGGGTGTTTGGAAAATGCATGCAAGATGGCTATTGTTCCCACCCCTAGAGAGTCTGCCTGGGTGGCTTTGAAGACCCAGGTAACACATCTACCTAGGCTGTGAGGCAGGACTGTGATGCTCAGTGGCTTACCTGGTTTGGACCCCGTTCTGAGCCAATGACTACAGCCACAGGGACCAGAGGCTGGCACGCCAGTGGGGTTTCTGGGAAGAACCAGGCAGAATGTTCTAAATAGGGCAGGCCCTTCAGGACCAAGGTAGATAATGGGCATGGGAGTATAGGCAGAAAGAAGCTCATGCTCTAGGAGAATGTGGATGCTCTGGGGTCTCCCAGGTATCCCCAGTTTTGCATACCCCAACCTCACAGCATTGCCAGGATGGCTTATGCTGGCTCCAGGTCAGGACTTCAGGGGCTGACAGTAGGCAATTCACATCATATTTCTCTTTGTCCCAGAGAGAGCAATCTTAGTCCTGCCTTTAATGTATGCTAATGAAGTAATCAAATATAAAAGAACCTTGCGAAACATAAAGCACTACAAAAATAAGGCATTATCATTACTGACACCATTACTACTGCTGCTGCTACAATTACAACTACTAATGACCAGTATGATTTATCAGTCTCTGTGTGTCAGTTATACTTCAAGGATAATCACAAATCATCCCCACAGCCTGTTTACACAAAAGATGAAGACATTGAGGCTGAAAGAGACAAGGCTACTACCAGCCCCATCTCTGACTTTGTGTGAATCTGAAAAAGGGGTCTCTTTTGCTGGGCAGATGTAGCCCTTCTGGGACACACGGCTTGGCAGGGGGAATGCAGGCTGGTTTTTAGCCCCCACTAGCCCTTGAATAAATAGGCTTATGCAGGACACACCCTTAACATTGGTTCACTGCAATCTCACGGAGAAGGTAAGTGGGCTGGTTCAGTAGGAAGTTAAATCAGGGACCAGGTACAGTGGCTCACACCTGCAATCCTAGCACTTTGGGAGGCTGAGGTGGGCAGATCATCTGAGGTCAGGAGTTCGAGACCATCCTGGCCAACATGGTGAAACCCCATCTCTACAAAAATTAGCCAGCGTGGTGGCAGGTGCCAGTAATCCCAGCTACTCGGGAGGCGGAGGCAGAAGAATCGCTTGAACCTGGGAGGTGGAGGTTGCAGTGAGCCAAGATTGCACCATTGCAATCCAGCCTGGGAGACGACAGTGAAAACTCTGTCTCAAAAACAAAAACAAACAAACAAACAAAAAGAAGCTAAGTCAGCACTTAAATGTAGGTATGTTCCAATACACAAAGCACAGGTACTCCAGGTGGACGATTGCTGCCTGGAGCCAGCATCTTCTATGCATACCGCAAACACTGGCTGGCCCTCTGCACACTCGGCAATTTGCTGCTACTGTGGTATGCACAAGGATGACACAGACAGAAGCCCATACCCCAGGGAGTGTATTACCTCTGAGAAGGAGCAGAGGTACTTCTGCTCAGAACATATCAGCCCCAGAACTGAGACAGTACCCAGGGAGGAACAAAACCACACAAACCCAGTCCTGTTGACACGAATGAGCATTCTTGTAGCAGGGCTTGATAAGCCTGTTGCTAAGCCTACCTCACTTCCTGCCACTAAGCACCTGGCTCTTGGCTCAGGAAAGATAATCACTCTGGGAACCAGCTCTCCTCAGGAGACCTGGCAGACTGCTCGCAGTCCAGGGCAAAACCTGCCTTTCAACAGAGCTTCACCTCCTCCCGTGTCAGACAAGGGGAAACTCAATCTGTAAAGGAAAGGTTTGTACACACACGGTTCTGCTGAGAGTCTGTAGTAGTAAGTGACCCTCCAGGAAAGGAAGGAGCCCCAGCTCTCCCAGCTCAGAGTGCTTCCTAAACAAAGACCCTAAGTGTCCTGCCGTGACAACTTGAGACCCGGGACGCTCAGGTTCCAGAAGCACCCGCAGCTATCATCTGTCAGTCCAGACACCAGCACTGTCTGTGCTGAGGTTCAAGCGGAGAGGTCAGACAAGCACTGGGGTGGGAGTGGGAGCTGCAGAGGGCAGATGGGGGAAAGGGCTTTGGAAAGACCAATATGAATGGCAGGCATTTTTGACCCCAAATAAGAGAGCAAGGGAGAGCTGTGATCTGAGCAAAGATGAAAGAATGGTTGGTCTCCCCTAGTAATCAAAGAGTTTAATGAGGCTTATTAAAAGCCCATTTCTAGATCTTGTTGAAAAATTACACCCATAAGTGTTTTTTTTAAAATAAGAATTGTCTCCTAGGGATTAAATACACATGCACACTCCCCCAAAATCCCATACCGCACACATGCACAGTCACATTACCACAAAACCTGCATATCATGTACATCACAGCAATCTAGGTGCATCTACAGCAACAATGGTCACAATTCACATCATACACATATATTGTATGACAAAAGAGCCAGATCCCTGAGGTCATTTATGTATCTTTTGAAATTCAGACTTTGAGGGAACCCTAGAGCTTCATCCTCAAGGAGTTGTCATCCACATAAATAAACAGCATAGCTTCAAATCCCCAGCATCCTCTGTGTCTTGCCTGAGGCAAGACAGCTCAGCAAAAGCAGAAACGACCATGCTTGCTTTAGAGTCCAGGATCGTTAAGCTTTGGTAGAAAAGCCACAGTTTTACAGCAAGGTCACTGCACAAGAAGGGGCTGACGGGGGCTGTGTCACTCTATCCATGGTGGATTCTCTCGGATATGCTAAATCCCAGCCACTTGGTAGCCTCAGCCCTGGGCCTGGAGCAGGTTTCCCTTGGTTCTCTGTTTACTGTGAGCTCACAGCTGCCTTCAATCTCAGGCGGAGAAAACATCGCTTTCTGGAACAATCAGCTAGATGCAGAAAGGAATCTCTTGCAGAAAATTATCCCAGCACCCACCAGAGTGGTGCTGATCTCCCCAGCATCACACTCACTACCAAGGGGTAGAATGCAACAATGACCATTCAGATGCTACAACTACCAGGTGGAATGGTCTGCTATTATTAGAAACAAATGTTTTGGAATTAGTAAATCTGGGTTTCAAGCCTACCTCTGATTCTTACGCACAGTATGGCTTTGGCCCACTCTTTTGGCCATTGTTTTCTCCTTTGCAAAATGCCAGAAACAACTTCTTCCTACCTTATAGAGTTGTGGGAAAGACCACAAAGTACCCTTCAAACTGTATGCCCTAAAGCAGATGCTAGAAATTCTCATAATGAGACGATAATGGGAACATGGAGGAACTCACTGATTGGGTTGTGAGCTCCTCAAGGGCAAAGCCTATGCTGTATTTATCTTGTTCTCTGTGCTCAGCACTGAGGCTGGCACTGAATACCCTGGGGGAAAACAGTGTGAAAGAAAGCAAGCAGAATGGGTGAATTCATGCATTACGTGGCTTGCCTAAGGTCACAGAGCAGGTCATTGCAGGATCTGGGCCCAGAACTCTTGACCACACTAATCCAGAGCTCTCTGTTCTAGACGTACCAAGCAGCTGGGTCTGCTGAAGCGAGAGTGAATGTCACAACAACTGCAGCATGGGCCAGTTTTCAATGAGCCCCGCTATTCCCAGAGAAAGACCCAATGTTGGCCCGGTATGGCCTAAAAGGGCTTCACAGACTCACCTGTATACATGCCAACTCCACACTGGGAACAAACAGAAGCCACAGGTGCAAGTAATACTCAAATGCTTCAAACCGGCTCAACTTATTTACTGACTTGTTCCATACTGACATGAATTGCACAACACAGAAAAGTCACAAGCCTGGGACAATGGGTCTGGCAGGGGTTATACTGTTCAGACTAGAAGCATATCTTGTTTTTGGTTCACATTTAGCGTCATTACTTACCTACTGACCAAGTGTCCGAGAGATCACTAGCCCTCTCTGATTCTCAGTTTTTCCATCTGCAAAACAAGAAGACAATCACAATGAATTCCTTGAGATCTCTGGACTAAAATGCATCACAGGTTTTATGCCTAAAACTGGTTACCAAAACTGCTTATGATTCCATGTAACTGGGAAAACTGCAAGTGGTCAGGGGCTGCAAAATAACTGTTTAAAAAATGAAGTGCAGTAATAAATTAAGCATGATCATCAATAGTTATGTGTCAAGCAGGACGCTTGCTGATGGTGCTCAACTCTCAGCACAGAAGATTCAGCCTTCCAATCATTTGGGCACTTTTTATTTTTTATAGATGTCAAAATAAAAAAAGACCATTAAAAATACCAGGAGAAATAAAGCCAAGAAAAGGACCACAACCTCAACACATTCACTTCCAACAATTTGGGATATTTTTTTCTTTTCTTTTCCTTCTATACATGGAGTTTACCTTTTTTTAACCAGAGGCTATAAAGATATACTATAGGTAAGATCCAAGATGGCTGATCACTAGCAGCTCAGGATTGTAGCTCCCAGTGAAAGCACAGAGAACGAGAGAACGCCACACTTTCAGACGAATTTTTGTTGCTCACGGATCAGGAGATTCCGAGTGGAGGGGCCCCATGGGTCGCCAGCATGACTCTTGAGGCCAGCGCGGCGGTTCTTGGTGCAGAGTAAGCAGGACTGAGTCCCCTTTTGGTCGACGTTTGGAGCTCTGTGAAGGCAGAGTCGCCTATTCAGCTGATTGAAAAAGGGACTCAAAAAGGAAGCCAGACCGGAGATTCCTGGGCAGAAAAGCACCACTAATCTTAACACCGCTGTTTTGGCCGGCACGTTAGGTTGCTCAGATTCCGGCGCTGGGAATCAACAAGTTGGAGGTCGACTCAGAGATCTAATTTGAAAGTCGGTAATTACAAAGATGACAGGTGGATAAATTTACAATGATGGGAAGAAACCAGAGTAAAAAGGCTGAGAATACCCAAAATCAGAATGCCTCTCCCTCTACAGGGGAATCACAGTTCCTCATCAATAAGGGAAAAAGGCCTGATGGAGAATAAGTGCTTTCCATTAACAGATTTAGGTTGCAGATGGTGGATAATAAGAAACTTCTGTGAGTTAAAAGAGCATGTTCTAGCCCAATGTAAAGAAACCGAGAACCTTGAAAAAAGGTTTGACGAAATCCTAACAAGAATAGACAATCTAGAGAGTAATATAAGTGAATTAATGGAACTGAAGAATATAATACGAGAACGCCACGAAGTACGCACAGGTTTTAACAGTCGAATTGATCAAGCAGAAGAAAGGATATCAGAGGTCGAACACCAACTAATGAAATGAAATGAGAAGAAAAGATTAGGGAAGAAAGAGAAAAAAGGAATGAGCAAAGTCTCCAAGAAATATGGGACTATGTGAAAAGACCTAATTTGCATTTGATAGGTGTACCTGAATGTCATGAAGAGAATGAATCCTAGCTGAAAATATTCTTCAGGATATTATTCAGGAAAACTTTTCTAACCTAGTAAGGCAGGAAAATACTCAACTTCAGGTAATACAGAGAACACCACAAAGATATTCCTCAAGTAGGTCAACCCCAAGACACATAATCGTTAGATTCACCAGGGTTGAAATAAAGGAGAAAATTCTAAGGGCAACTAGAGAGAAAGGTCAGGTTACCCATAAAGGGAAGCCTATCAGACTCACAGCAGATCTCTCAGCTGAAACCCTGCAAACTAGAAGAGAGTGGGGGTCAATATTCAATATCCTCAAAGAAAAGAATTTTCAACCCAGAATCTCATATCCAGCCAAATTGAGCTTCAAAAATGAAGGAAAAATATAATTTTTTTCCGAACAAGCAAGCACTCAGAGATTTCATCACCACCAGGCCTACTTTACAAGAGCTTCTGAACGAAGCACTACAGAAAGGAACAACCAGTATCAGTCATCCCAAAAACTTACCAAAAGGTAAAGAGTATCTCCATGATGAAGAATCTATATCAACTAATGGGCAAAATAGCCAGCTAGCATTAAACGACAATATTAAACTCACAAATATCAATATTAATCCTAAATTTAAGTGGATTAAATGCTCCAATCAGAGACACAGACAGGCAAATTGAATGAAAAGTCAAAACCCTGTATCCAGATCCATCTCATAAGCAAGGACACACAGAGACTCAAAACAAAGGTTGGTGGAAGACTCACCAATCAAATGGAGAGAGAGAAAAAAAAAGAAAACAGGAGTTGCAACTTCCGTCTCTGACAAAATAGACTTTAATAGTAACAAAGACTAAAAGAAACAAAGAAGGACATTACATAATGGTAAAAGGATCAATGCAACAACAGGAGTCAATGATCATAAATATATATGCATCCAATATAGGAACACCCAGATACATAAGATAGGTTCTTAATGACTTATAAAGAGACTTGGACTCCCGCACAATAATAGCGGGAGACTTTGACACCACATTGTTAATATTCAACGGATCCACGAGATAGAAAATTAACAGGGACATCTACGATTTGAACTCAGACCTGGAACAAGTAAACTCAGTGAATATTTATAGAATTCTTCACCCCAGGTCCACAGAACATACATTTTTCTCAGTATCATATTACACCTATTTTGAAAGTGACCACATAATTGGAAGTAAATCACTCTTCGGTATTTTCATAGCATTTCACAGACTTAAATGAAATATTGGTTGGCTGTTTGTTATTTTCTTCCCTATTCCTTCCTGTCTCTGCTGCTAAGCACAATTATCGGCATAAAAGAGGTTTTTAATACCTATTTTTAGACTGCATTCCAGCCTGGGCAACGGAGCAAGACTCCTGTTCTCTCTCCCCATTTCCCTTTCTCTCTCAAAAAAAAAAAAAAAAAAAAAAGAGTAGACTGGTGGCAATTATATTCGGACTCACCAAACATATTACTGAGAACCTACTGCCAGGAATTTTCCTGGCAGCAAAAAAAAGATATACTATATTAAAAACAGCATGCCAATTGTGATTTTCCTCTCCTGCCACCTGTGTCAGGCCATGACAGTTGACCATTGCCCTTACTGACTCATTTTCATTCTCATCATTTCCGTCAGTTTCTCCAAGGCCTTTCCAGGTGTGTGGTCAGGTCTCTGACAGGTACTGTTCGTACCTGAGCCCAGAAGAGTGAGAAGTGAGCAACTTTTAGAGCCTTGGGCTGGTCTTTCCCTAGTTTACTTGCAGTTACCTCATCTGAAAAAATAGGAAAACTGGACCAGCTGATCACAGATTTCTTTTTTAACCTAAAAAAGCAAGGCTAAGGAAAAGAGAGGGAAACTCATATATCTGAGTCCCTACTATGTGACTGCTAATGACCTAATAATATCTACAGGTATGATTTCATGATCCTTATAACCACCCTGGGAGATTTCATAGGCAAGAAAACTGCAGCTCAGCAAGGCTCAGCGATCTGTCTAAGGCCTGATGCCATAATTTTGGTACCCCATTCACATTTTTGCCATAACCATGCATCACCTTTACTATCATTTACTAATTTTTCCAAATCAATTCATGTTTTCTACTTAACTATATATTTTTAATGATTTTCAAAATTGTTTCTGCAGCTCTCTATTTCTGCCCTTTCTCTCCAACGGAAGGCGCCCTTGCAACTAACATAGTTTTCTGTAATTAAAAAAGGATTGCTAACAATGTAAAGGAATTTGTCACAGAAACCATTTGAATAATATCTAAGAAGTCATAGGTGACAGGTGCTCTGTGTGTGTGTGTGTGTGTGTGTGTGTGTATGTGTATTTCTGGCTGGGCACGGTGGCTCATGCCTATAATCTCAACACTTTGGGAGGCTAAGGAGGGTGGATCATGAGGTTAGGAGTTCAAGACCTTCCTGGCCAACATGGTGAAACCCCATCTCTACTAAAATACAAAAAATTAACCAGGCATGGTGGTGGGCGCCTGTTGTCCCAGCTACTCAGGAGGCTGAGGCAGGAGAATCACTTGAACCTGGGAGGTGGAGGTTGCAGTGAGCCTAGATCGTACCACTGCACTCCAGCTCTGGTGACAGAGCAAGATTCTGTCTCAAAAACAAACAAACAAACATACAAACAAATATATATATATTTCTACTATTCATTAAAATAAATACTTTTGGAGTTGAAAATGCTCATCCACGTACTATGCCAATTCCCAGCAGTTCCCCTACTGCACTATGGGACGCTGGTCTGAAGTCCTTCACTGCACTGTAGCTTCAGAGCTGAAGTGTTTCTTATTTCGAAGCTGAATCGTAAAAGCACCTAACACTTAGACCATGTCAAGTAGGTCACCAGGGTCACACAGCTAGTAACTGAAGGAGTGGGGACCAGCTCTCTGCTTGCCGGCTTCTAACCCAACCCAGTGCCCCATGAGCGCACTCAGCTTCCCCCACCCTCCTCAGGCCCCAGATCTGCAATTCTGTGCCATCTGGTCACCAATGAAGTTGTTTTCAAATCCAGGCAGGGTCATCCTGTTTTGTTATGTTGTCCTCAGCTTTTCCATAAAGTTACTAGATCATATGGATACTTATTTACATTCCCAAACGGGTGCTTGAGTACAAAGCTACATAATTTCTAAAACCATGTTGAGAAAATATGAACTGAAAGTGATTATTTATTCAATGTTCCAAAATAGTAACTGAGAAAATAGAAAAGGCTGACAAACTAATACCCAGGAATGCCATTGCCCCTGCAAATGAGTATGCAATCCCAACCCAGGCAGGGGAAGTGGGAGAAAGTGGCAAAGTGACTGCATTGGACACTGATCGAAGCTGTTGTCTAGTGTCTTTCTAAAGCTCTAAGTTTCCACTTCCTGTCATCTGGTTTTAAATTAATTGGCATGAATCTTTTATGACAAGAGAGCAAACAGGTTGAACATCCTATTGAGCTGGGTTAGGCTTACTTTCTGCTGAGCTACAAACTGTGCAGAAACAGGAACACAAATGAACAGAACCCTGACTATTCATTCCCTGTCCAATGGCACCTCTTCCAGGAAGCCTTCTCC